TCCTATGGACGCTGGCGTGCTCTCACTGTGAAAATCACAGTGAGAAGCATGCAAGCGCCTCTAGTGGCTGTCAATGAGACAGCCACTAGAGGATTAGGGGAAAGGCTTAACCCATTCATAATTATAGCAGTTTCTCTGAAACTGCTATAATTATGAAAAAATGGGTTAACCCTAGCTGGACCTGGCACCCAGACCACTTCATTAAGCTGAAGTGGTCTGAGTGCCTAGAGTGGTCCTTTAATACTGTTTGATCACTCAAAACTATATATAAAGTATTAAAAACATGAACCATCTGTGTATTAGGCTGAGGTTGTTGGGTGTGGGTATAGCTTGAAAGTTGTGGTTGGTATTGAGGAACCTGCCAGGGTCCCTGAACACCAGCCGGGCCAGGTTCTCCCTCAGCACCGGATTCTCCTTTGTCTCCTTGAGCACCAGGTTCACCATTGTTACACTTAGGTCCAGGGGAACCTTTGGGGCCCTTAGGTCCAGGAGCACCACAAGGAAGCCAGGGAAGCCCGGGACACCAGCAATACCAGTGGGGCCAGCTTGACCAGGAGAACCGGGTTCACCACAAGCACCTTGGGGTGAATCCCTGCTATCCACAATTAAAACAGTGCTGAAGTTACCACCTCTACAAAAGTTACATCCTTTGATCAAATCATCTACCTCTGCCTCTAAAACTTTTCTGATTCAATCTCCTATCACCTCTCAAATTTCTTTGTCTCGCCTGCTTAAGATCACAATCCTTTTGTGACCGATACAACATACTTTTCCCTCTTTCTTTATATCAAAACAACCTGCTGTATCTTTCTCATGAATCTTCCCAAGAAATTCAGTTGGGGTCAAAGAGGGCCAGTCACAGACCAACAGTTTGACCAAAAGTGAACAAGGGGGAAGCATATTCCATATGCAGGTCGAGATGACCTAACTCACACCCCCTCTTTGTGTACACCTCTTTGTGTACCACATAGATATAATATTAATACGCTTTTGAAGATTTATTGTGCATGTATAGCACGGTTGTCTAGGGGTGTATACATAAACAGTGAAAGCAGAGTCTTCATATAGGGTTTGCAATACTGACAGTCTGGGTCATAGGTGTAATGCAGACATGCGGTTAGGAACTTTTCCATTGTCAGAATACATTGAAAGCACTAATATATTGCAAATATTAAAATCATTTTGCAGCTGTTTCCTATACCTGCAAGGATATGGTTGTAATACTTCAATTGAGTTCAAATGGAGTATAAAAAATTCTTACCACAAAAACTAAATTTTATATGCTTATCAAAATGAGTTTAACCCCTTAGCAATTTAATAGGGTGACCTCTTCCCATAGTATGGTTCCTTTTATAATTATTATATTATTTATTCTCTTCTGGGTCTGCAAAATGCTTTCAACATACCAATACAAATATAATACAGTAGTTTAGAATTGCCTCAAAAGAAATGATCTGATCTCTATTATAAATACCATTTCATCATTTTCCTATAATCAATGAGGCATACTAGATGAATCTTAATCTTGGAAAAAACCTATCCTATACATCCATAATTTTTTCTTGTTATATAACTGATATGGATTAATGAGCACCTTTCCCCTTATATCCTGTGTCACACTACACAGTAGATTTAGTAATGTCAGGATGCTCTATTATAACAGGTGGCCTTTGATCCTGATTTGTATCTTCTTCTTATTTCCCCCCCCCTGCACTGCATATCCTGATAACACCTTGTTGGGAAGTGTTTGTTTAATCAAGTAACACCTTTTGACCAGCTAATGCCAAATGTGCTTTAAGTTCTTTTAATATGCAATTGACAGGACATGACTGTATTATGTGAAGACAACCCCTTTTGGATGTGTATAGAATTTTGTTATAAGATCTGTGTCTTCCCCATTAAAATTGGGAGTAGTATTCTGCCATACACTTGTGTGAATGAGTACTGCCCTCCGAGCTCGTATTTCTGCTGTGTCCATTCCTTGTCTTCATACCTGAGAGAAAACATTGCTGTCTGCTGAATTTAAACCACAACAATATGGTGTCAGAAGTGGAGAGAGAATCCAAATCTGGTAAGAACATTTTGTGTTTTATATTTGTGTTCTTTGCCCTGTTTGGATTCTCTGAACAAAATTTTGTGGTTGCAGAAAAGTAATGTTTTCTTGTTTTTGTTTTGCCTCTCTTTTTGTTTTTTTGATAAGTATGGGTTAGAGTCCCATGATAAGTATGGGTTAGAGTCCCATGATAAGTATGGGTTAGAGTCCCATGATAAGTATGGGTTAGAGTCCCATGATAAGTATGGGTTAGAGTCCCATGATAAGTATGGGTTAGAGTCCCATGATAAGTTTGGGTTAGAGTCCCATGATAAGTTTGGGTTAGAGTCCCATGATAAGTTTGGGTTAGAGTCCCATGATAAGTTTGGGTTAGAGTCCCATATTAAGTTTGGGTTAGAGTCCCATGTTAAGTTTGGGTTAGAGTCCCATGATAAGTTTGGGTTAGAGTCCCATGATAAGTTTGGGTTAGAGTCCCATGATAAGTTTGGGTTAGAGTCCCATGATAAGTTTGGGTTAGAGTCCCATGTTAAGTTTGGGTTAGAGTCCCATGATAAGTTTGGGTTAGAGTCCCATGTTAAGTTGTATAAGAGAAACATTTATATTTTCTGGGTTAAAGTCCCATTTTATCGGTAAGTTGTATATAGTGGGTATAGCAGTCCCACTGAGTGACCACATTTAGTCACTGTATTGAATGCACAGTTTGGACACAGTAGAATAAATCTTATTTTTGTTTATTGCAGCGCTGCATGTATAGTTGTATTGTTTTAAAAAAGTGTGCATTGCTTATATATTGTAAAGTGTTATCTGTGTGAAGTTGGAAATGGGCTCCAGTAATGGTAAAAAAAAAAATAAAAAAAAAAACAAAAAAAAAAAAAATAATAATAATAATAATTCCCAACAAAATTCTGTAAAATTTAAATCATCTAAAGATGTCCCTAATAGTGCTGCGTCACGTACTCCCCAAGTCAAGTCTCAGGGTCCTCGATTAGGCCAAACTCCATGCCATTTTGTTCAAGAAACTATTGGAAATTACTATGCTGAGCCATTTTGTACAAATTTAGTTGCATGATCAGAGAATTTTGATACAATGATTTGTAATCCATGGCCAAGAGAGGGTTCTTTTAGTGATTTTCATTTGCAAATGCTGAAAGGTATGTGTATTAAAGGTTTTAAAAAGTGGGGTCCAGGTGGAGATCCAAAATGGGATAAAAAGTATATGCATAATGCAGCTACAGGATGGTTAAAGTATTCTCAGTTATGGTTTGTTCCTGATCAGACTACAAAGTATGTTCAGGCTTCTGCAGCATCACCTGCTTATGTGCTTTTTGTTGTACCATTATATCCCAGTTTGGATGAATTAAAAAAAGATTTTTCGGAATATTGATACTGATGAAACTTTTATGGCGATTGTTAGAGGGAAAAGGCATGTTGGATAGATGGTTGTGAATCCTTCTGCAATGGTGAGATCCACTGCAGAAAATGTTGATGTTGGTATGAAAAAAAAAAAATAAGAAAGTGACTAGAACGTCTGTGGATGTTGGTGCAGGGAATAAGCATGTTCATAGTGTTTTAGTGGTGGATGAGGGTTATAAGAGTCATGGTGTACTAGTTCCCAGTCATGTGTCTGCTTCTGCCTATCCTTTTGTAGTTGCTGGTGAGACTGTTATAATTAAGCCTCCCTATGGATCACATTTGGTGTCTCTTAGGACTCAGTGTCCTGATCCGTTTAAGCTTCCAGAAGGCGCTATTAATTATTTAAAAAGAGTAACAATGGATCAACAGTTTGGAGGGGCAGATTTTTGTTTTTTTATTGTCTGTTGTTTTTAAATATGCTGAAATTTCACCAACAGAAATGGCTCTTAATTTGGACACTAAATATGATAGACCTGGTACTGATGTAGGTTGGTTCTGTGTATTTTGGGCTGAGCAAGATTTTGTGTCAGAATTTTTAAATCAGTTATTGGTTTATTTTCCTTTGTGGTTTTGCAGTTGTACAAATACCTAATAGTGTAATAGCTGCAGGTTCTTAACCTTTCGTCTCAGCGCAGGCGGAGTTGATTGCTCTTACACAAGCTTGTATTGCTTTTAAAGATCAAGATGTGACTATTTATACTGATTTGAGATATGCCTTTGGAGTGGTTCATGATTTTGGTGTCATTTGGCAGGCTAGAGGCTTTGTTGCAGCTGATGGTCGAACTGTTTCTCATTTTGCATTAATTGATGGATTATTGAGGGCCATACTGTTACCTAGATCTTTAGCTATTGTGAAGTGCAAGGGCCATGATACAGATCACTCCATGGTCAGGGATGGTAATGATTTTGCAGATTTGGTGGCGAAAAGGGCAGCTGCCTCTTTTCCTTTATGGAGAGATTACAGTACTGTTTCTTTTGACCAGGTCTTAACTGCATATAGCCACTCATACTGATGATACTGATGATACTGATATTCTTTCTATGCAGGCTGCATCATCTTCGGATGACTTAGCTTACTGGAATAAACATTCTGTTACACCTGATGCAAGTTCTGGTATCCTCAAGGATCATAAAGGTTGCATAGCAATCCCTCAAGTTTTTTCTGTGTTACTCGTCCGACAGTTCCATGTTATGGACATGTCGGACGAAGAGGGGTATTGGCTAAGCTAAGTAAACTATTTGTAATTAACAGGTTAGATCAGACAGTTACCAATATTTTTATCCAGGTGCTTAACATGTACTACCAAACCACAGTTACCTCCAGTTTAAGGTCCAATGTTAATTTTACAAACTGACTTCATGCATATGACAACGGCAAAAGGTGGACTCAATTATTTACTTGTATTGTAGACATGTTTTGGTTGTCCATTTATGATTAATAGTGATAAATAAACTTCGTTCACTTCAGCAGTTACACAGCAGGTTTGTAAAATGTTGAGTATAGATTGGAAATTTCATATACCCTATCACCCTCAGTCATCAGGGCAAGTAGAAAAGATGAATAGAACGATCAAGGAGAAATTGACAAAAGGAGACTTGGGTAGCACACGCAATTGGCCAGACAATTTGCCAGCAGTTTTAGCTGAGATCAGAATGACCCCTAGTTCCACTACGGGTTATTCACCATTTGAAATTTTAATGGGGAGACCTTTTCCAACTTCACGGTGTAAGTCCAAAGGTGCTCCGATGGTGAGCGGAGACCTAAATGTTGTGTTATATGTATTGAACCTTGTAGACACATTGAATGGCATCTATGGTGATTTGTCTCTATCTCTTCCTCATCCTTCAGGTACAACCACACATCCTTTCAGGCCTGGAGACAAAGTCTTGGTGAAATCCCTCTTCAAATCCGGAACCTTTGATCCAACGTACAGCCCTCTGACAACCGTTGTTGCCATCACCAGAAGAGCCGTTCTGACCGAGGAGAACCAGATATGGAATCATGCAAGCAGATTAAAAAGATGTCCCATCAAGCACTCTGGATATTCCAAGCAAAGAAGATCAACCTCAGACTGATCCAGAATGAACAATAGTGCTCGGTGCAACCTAATTATTCTTTTTTCCATGGGACTTGGTTATGCGCTGATTAATAGTATTTGATCCCAAAGAACAGTGATAGTAAAATGTGTTATTAATATATTTCACTCTAAGCAGGCTTTATCTTCTTCATCATGGGAAACAGACAATCATATTATTGGATCTTTAAAGAATTTATACCAAGCCCTAAATTTAACTAATTGTTTAATAAACCTTAATTCGTCCAGGAGGGAGGGACGGTCTTATTATAGCCATGGCTCCCCGGAGATTTTCTTCAGAAATAACGGTTCTGAAGTTTTTTTTCTTCCCTGAGTGCTATAATAGACAATTAATTAATTTACTGATTTGTTATTCTTTCAGAATAAAAGATTGGAATGATATGGATTAATGAGCACCTTTCCCCTTATATCCTGTGTCACACTACACAGTAGATTTAGTAATGTCAGGATGCTCTATTATAACAGGTGGCCTTTGATCCTGATTTGTATCTTCTTCTTATTTCCCCCCCCTGCACTGCATATCCTGATAACACCTTGTTGGGAAGTGTTTGTTTAATCAAGTAACACCTTTTGACCAGCTAATGCCAAATGTGCTTTAAGTTCTTTTAATATGCAATTGACAGGACATGACTGTATTATGTGAAGACAACCCCTTTTGGATGTGTATAGAATTTTGTTATAAGATCTGTGTCTTCCCCATTAAAATTGGGAGTAGTATTCTGCCATACACTTGTGTGAATGAGTACTGCCCTCCGAGCTCGTATTTCTGCTGTGTCCATTCCTTGTCTTCATACCTGAGAGAAAACATTGCTGTCTGCTGAATTTAAACCACAACAATAACCATATAACATAACAATTGTTTATGTTAAAGATAACAAATTTTTCTTTTTATTAAATAATGCAATGCACTTGAAAAGTAGCGTTAACTCTAAATACTCCCCTAATAATACTGAAACGTGGATCCATGATTTTGAAAAGCAAATGATATAATTTTTCTTTTTCTTTCCCAGGGGCCCCTTTCTTGTTGGCTGATCAGCGTTTTTTAATCTGTTGTAAAAAGACACTAAAGGCTTGCGTTAATGACATGCAAATATTCTTTAAATATTTTTCATACTCATTGTAATATCACACATCATCTTATATCACAGAAAACGTGTAGCAGATATCCTCAAAAAGCATATTCATGGACAGGCAATTAACTCAATCCAAAATAAATTAATAAATGTCACACTATGTGACAGACATAATTTGGTTCCCATGTTTGTACATTATGCATGTCTGCAAACTATGCAAGCAGTACTACTTTAAGATTAGATCAGAGCACCTGGCAACTGGACAGGAAAGTCAAATTTTGTCAGGAAGTCCATTATTGCAACAGAATTTTGGAAATCAGCTAAAATTTACAAAAACAGCCTCCCTCCTTTTTTTCTTTCTTAAGACTACAACTCATATTGCTCTTGGACTAGTATTCAATAATAAATCAGTTATTTAATAGATTGATATGCTGCCATTTCCATCTGTATCAATACTGAGACAAACTTATTCAAATATAATTTAAAATAACACAGCAAAATACCCATTAACATACATGACAATTAAACTGCATACTTTAAAATGAGTAACCAAAACACACATTTATCACAATCACCATTCACACAGCATAAACTTCTAACAGCTGTATTCAGAACATATTATTGTAAGGTATACCAATTTTAGTTTGCATCAGATTTATTTAAGAGTTCTGGTACCAAAGGGTTTATTTTTTACAGAAGGGATCCCGTACGGCCATATAACGCGTTTTACTTAAACATTTGTATAACACTTGCATTAACCAGTTGCGACATATGTACCCTGTCAATGGATTTTCTCTCTTATATGCTTCTAGAACATTTGGACCAGATTACACAGACATGGTATCACCTGCATTTGTCAGAACTCTCAAAGACTCAAAATATTTATACTACTCCATGTTAAAGGCATGGCAAAATTTTGACCGGTCAATTTGAGTTTCCAAAAGTCATATCAACACAGGTAAAAACCTTTGTCCATGGT